GGTGCAGCTGGAGCGGGTGCTCCTTCTGGGGGTACTGGTGCTGTACCTGCTGTGTCTGGCGTCCCCGCGCGGCCTCGACCGTACTTCGTTCCACTCCTGCAGCAGGTTCTTGGTCTTCCGCCTTCTACTGGTCCTCCTCTTCCTTTAGAGTGTCCACTGCCAGTCCCGTCACACATATAGTTGCAGCCTACCTCCCCTTTGCCTGCTCCTTCTCCCTACACTGGTCCTACTGGAGGTCTTGCTGAGCGTCGTAAGTCTGCGTCTCACCCTGCGTCGCCTGTTCGTGCTGCTCGCGCTAGTGGTCGTGGTTCGCGTCAGCGTCCTCCTCCTGTCCCTGGCACGCACAGGATGTCTCTGCGTCCGTCCACTGCTCCTCTGCGTGCCCCTTTCCCTTCTCCTCCTGAGTCCTCTCTTCCTGCTCTTGCCGAGCCGGAGTCGGACTCTCTTTGTGCTGCCAGTCCTACTGTCACGCGTCTCCTGGCTACTGTCGTCACTGGCCCTTCTTTCGAGTCAACTGCTGCGTCTGCCCTAGTTGCTGAGCTCGTCGACTTTGCTGCTCGCTGTCGCCTGGACTACGCTGCTAGTCTTGTCGCTGAGTCTGAGTCTGTCTGTCCTCCGTCCGTCGGGGGTGAGTGTGCCCTTGGCACGGACGTCCTTGAGGACCGGCAGGAGGAGTTCCAGTGTCTGGCAGCTGCTTCACCTCATCTCGTGTCCGTACTGCTTACCCCTGAGGGAGACCCGGATGCACTTGACATCCCGACTCCGCGCTCTTACGCGGAGGCGATAGAGGGTCCCTACTCCTCTCAGTGGCAGGCAGCTATGGACACAGAGATGGCTTCCTGGAAGTCCACATGCACCTACGTTGACGAGGTTCCCCCGCTTGGGGCGAACATCGTCAGTGGCATGTGGATCTTAAGGGTGAAGCGGCCGCCGGGTTCTCCGCCTGTCTTCAAGGCACGGTACGTGGCTCGTGGCTTCAGTCAGCGGCAGGGAGTTGACTACTTTCAGACCTTCTCTCCCACCCCGAAGATGACCACTCTTCGGGTACTGCTGCACGTTGCTGCTCACCGTGACTACGAGCTGCACTCTCTCGACTTTAGCACAGCTTTCTTGCAGGGCAGCCTGCACGAGGAGATCTGGCTGCACCGCCCACCTGGCTTCACTGGGTCGTTCCCTCCTGGTACCCAGTGGAGTCTCCGGCGTCCAGTCTACAGTCTCCGCCAGGCGCCACGTGAGTGGCACGACACACTGAGGACTACACTTGCGGCTCTTGGGTTTGCTCCTTCTACTGCCGACCCGTCGCTATTTCTACGCACCGACACCTCTCTGCCGCCGTTCTACATCCTCGTGTACGTCGACGACTTGGTCTTTGCCACAGCGGACACTGCTAGACTCGCCCACGTGAAGTCCGAGCTGCAGAAGAGACACACGTGCACAGACCTGGGTGAACTGCGCAGCTACCTTGGCTTGCAGATCACCCGAGACAGAGCACGCCGCACCATTACCCTGACTCAGTCACACATGGTGCAGCAGGTCCTTCAGCGCTTTGGCTTCACGTACTCCTCGCCTCAGGCCACTCCTCTGCCTACTCGCCACTCGCTCTCAGCTCTGCCTTCGGATGAGTCCGTAGAGTCGAGTGGCCCGTACCCAGAGCTTGTTGGCTGCCTCATGTACCTGATGACCTGCACACGACCTGACCTTGCATACCCTCTTAGCATTCTCGCACGCTATGTTGCTCCTGGGAGACACCGACCAGAGCACATGGCTGCAGCGAAGAGGGTGTTGCGCTACTTGTGCAGTACGTCAGGCATGGGGCTAGTGCTTGGAGGGCGGAGTCCAGTGGTCCTCATTGGGCACGCAGGCGCTTCTTGGTCTGACGACCAGGCTACTTAGCGGTCGTCACAGGGTTACACCTTCAGCCTTGGTTCCGGCCCTGTTTCGTGGCGGGCTACTCGCTCGTCTTCTGTTCTCGGCTCCAGTTGTGAGGCTGAGATCTACGCAGGGGCCATGGCTGCACAGGAGCTTCGCTGGCTCACCTACCTGCTGACCGACCTTGGAGAGCCGCCTCGTTCTCCTCCAGTCCTGTACGTAGACAACAAGGCCATGCTGGCCTTGTGTCGCGAGCAGAGACTGGAGCACAGAACAACGCACATTGCTCTTCGCTACTTCCTTGCTCGTGAGCTACAGCAGCGTGGTCAGTTGCGGCTTGCGTACGTGGCCTCTGAGGCCAACACTGCTGATGTCTTCACCAAGGCACTTGCGCCTTGCGATCATCAGCGCTTCTGCACCCAGCTGGATCTTGTACCTGTCTTGCCTCACTTGCTCACCTCTTGACCTTCCATGTACTGTTACATATATATATATTCTTGCTCTTGCTTGTCTAGCCTTATATATATATGTGTACTCCTGCATGTGAACTGGCCTTGTGGCCTTGAACTTGTGCTCGGAATGTGTGGTGACGTTGTGATCCACCATGAGCTTGCTTTGCTTTGCTTTGCTTGACTGGTCTTGTGACCCCTTGTTCTCCCCCACTTTGCCTATGGGGGTGTGTCAGAACATTATAGCTTATGCTGTTGTGTAGGCTATAGTGGGGTATCCCATAGGGGGTACAACCCAATTAGGGTTAGTACTTGTACCCACTTCATTCATAGTTCATCCATTCTCGTTTCTTCTCAAGGATCACTGAGCAGTCAGAGTCGAGTCGAGGTGTGGGCATCAGACAATGGCCTCGTGCAAGTGCCAAGTGTGGCAAGCTACCAATCAGCTGACCTGGCAACTGGCACGGTATCGCTCGGAACTTTTCTGTGCTGGGCGCGCTGGCCGCAGCAAGAGTTTTCAACTGTGTACACCCTATGTGCGCGGAATATTCTCTCCTAAAGTTGCAGATTCAAAATTTTGACTCGGTTTGGGAAGGGGAAATGATGTTCGGTTCTGCTGAAGTACGAGACTCATATGTGACACGGCTTTCGGTTGCACCAATTCGCTTTTCGCCATGTGCGATTCGCTAAAATCGTTTTGGCCATGTGCGATTGGCTATCTAGTTTCACAATTTAAGGGTTATTATAAGCCCCCAATGAATTTGACACTCGAGATAGCGTCGACAAAGTAGTGTATCCTTGTACCCCTACTCGTGCAGTTTTATCCGGAGGAAATCGTTAGTGGTAGCCCGTACACACGTGGGTGTATCGAAAAAAAGTTTCGAGGAATTTTCATTCCGATAACCTTTCATCCAGTCGGCGGAAACCCCTGTATAACCGGTTTCAGAGTGGACCCCCGATACAAGTTTGAGGCCCAGCCTGCACTACTATGACTACTCTGAAATTTCAGACAAGTCAGTTAAAAAAACTCTGAAAAATCAGACAGTGTGCATAAAAAAATTCTTTGAGTTCAGACTAGGTAAAAAAAAAAAGCCTGAACGGACTCTGAATCAGACTCCAAAGTCTGATATCTAGGGCCCTGCTTCCGCGTTCCCCACGCTTCCCCCCAGCGTCTCTCACACACCCCCCCACGCACACCCTCACCGTCGTCCAAGCTCTTCCCAACCGTTGCGAACGCTTCCTCCTGCCTTCACCCACGCTTCCCCACATCGTCGCTCACGCCTTCCCCCACCTTCCCTCACGGTGGGAGGCTCATCGCCCTGTTAAGAACTAAGGCAAGAGTGAGTGGATTAGGTAGAGATTAGGGTACAAGACTAAAGTGTCGAGGTTGTTTTTGTACCCTCTAAGGCTAACCCCACAACAGCCTACCCAATTATAATCATACAAGTAGGTTTGACACGCCCACACTTCTCCCCACCGTCGCCCACGCTTCTCCCCACTGTCGCCCACGCTTCTCCCCACCGTCGCCCACGCTTCTCCCCACCGTCGCCCACGCTTCCTCCCACCGTCGCCCACGCTTCCTCCCACCGTCGCCCACGCTTCTCTCCACCGTCGCTCACGCTTCTCCCCACCGCCGCCCACACTTCTCCCCACCGTCGCCCACGCTTCTCACCACCGTCGCCCGCGCTTCCTCCCACCGTCGCCCACGCTTCTCCCCACTGTCGCCCACGCTTCCTCCCACCGTCGCCCACGCTTCTCCCCACCGACGCCCACGCTTCTCCCCACCGTCGCCCACGCTTCTCCCCACCGTCGCCCATGCTTCTCCCCACCGTCGCCCACGCTTCCCCCCACCGTCGCCCACGCTTCCCCCCACCGTCGCCCACGCTTCTCCCCACCGTCGCCCACGCTTCGTCCCACCGTCGCCCACGCTTCCCCCCACCGTCGCCCACGATTCCCCCCACCGTCGCCCACGCTTCCCCTCCCATCGTCCTCCCTGTCGCCTTGAAATTTCCTTCCCCGCCGACCTCCCTTCCCTCTCACCTCTCTCCTCGCTTCTCCACTCTTGCCGCCCACCCTCTCAACCGTGCCTATTGTCTTTAGGTTCCTCGTTGCTTCCCTTCCCATTGCCGCATTTGGTCGCTCTCGCTCTCCCCATTGCCACCTTCTCTACTCCTTTCACCCCACCCTTGCACCCTCCTTTCCTTCTCTCTCATTCTCCCTCCCCCCCTGCCTCTCACCCACCCTGGCCGCAGACGTATGGCTGGCCGGTCTCGAGCGTTGGGGATGGGGTCATGACTCGTTCGCGCTGGGATGTGGGAGGGTGCGTGGTCAGCAGCACCCACCCTTCTCTCTCTTGCACCAGCCTCGCACGCATGGCAGGTGCTGCTGCGGCTTTGGAGCAGAGCGCAGGGCGCACAGCCGCAGCAGCGCGTGCAGTCGGGCAGTAAGGAGCGCAGTGCTACAGGGGGTACGGCAGGGGAGCGGGGGAGGCGGGGCAGGGGATGCGGGGCTGCGCGGGGCAGGGGAGGCGGAGGGGAGGGAGAGAGGGTCCAGGGATCCTCCTATCCCTCGTTCCACCCTTATAACCTGCCCTCCTCCCTTACTCTGTTCGTTCGTTCCCCCACAGTCGTCCTCCCCTCCCTTCTCCGTTGTAAAGGCACCGCTGCAGGTGGACGGGGTGATATGGCACGTGACGCGGGAATGGATGGGCTACCCGCATGTGATGTGCATACTCCCTTCCGCACATACTCCCTTCCTCACATCCTACCATCCTCACATCTCCCTTCCTCTCATCCTCCCTACCTCTCATCCCTCCTTCCTCTCATCCTCCCTACCTCTCATCCCCCCTTCCTCTCATCCTCCCTTCCTCACATCGCCCTTCCTCTCATCCTCCCTACCTCTCATCCCCTCTTCCTCTCATTCTCCCTTCCTATCGTCTTCCCACCCTCTCGTCCGCCCTTCCTCTCATCCTCCCTTTCTCTCATCCTCCCTTCCTCTCATCCTCCCTTCCTCTCATCTTCCCTTCCTCTCATCCTCCTGCCCTCTCATCCTCCCTTCCTCTCATCCTCCCTTTCTCTCATCCTCCCGTCCCTGTCAAACATTATATATGTTGTTGTAGTTATTTAGGCTACAGTGGGTTAGCCTATAGTGGGTACACATTTCTAGGGTTTCATACTTGTACTCATTTTCACTGTTAGTTCATTCATTCTTGTTCAACATGGTATAGAGCAGGTCCTTCCTAGGACCGATTTTTTTAGGGCCCACCACTACCTACCTACCTACCTACCTACCTACGCCCTAGGGCGCCTCGGCTTTCACGCCCCTAGAGGCCCCGTCGGCCCCGCGCTCTCGCACCTAGAGGCCTCGATCGGCCCCGCGCTCGCTTTTAGAGGCCCCGAATCGGCCCCGCGCTTACCCCTAGAGGCCCGCGTCGGCCCCGCGCTCGTCCTTAACGGCCCCGATCGGCCCCGCGTTTGCCCTTAGCGGCCCACGTCGGCCCCGCGCTCGCCCTTAGCGGCCCTGAACGGCCCCGCGCTCACCCTTTACGGCCCCGAATCGGCCCCGCGCTCGTCCCTAAGGCCCCGGGTGGCCCCGCGTTTGCCCTTCAGGCCCCGCGCTCGTCCCTTACGGCCCCGATCGACCCCGATAGGCCCCGCGCTCGCCCTTAGAGGCCCACGTTGGCCCCGCGCTCGTCCCTGACGGCCCCACCCGCCCCCCGCCTCTCTTCCTCGCGCCAGGTGCTGCTGTCGTAGACCCCCTCCCCCCTCAGGGTGCCGCTCCCTCAGGTGTGTCTCAGGTAGACCCGGTCGAGCCTGTTGAGGTTGCTGTCGACTCCCGTCCTGCTGGGGGTGCTGAGCCTGGGGGTGCGGAGACTGGGGGTGTTGAGCCTGGGGGTGCGGAGACTGGGGGTGCTGAGCCTGGGGGTGCGGAGACTGGGGGTACTCCGCCTGGGGGTGCTGAGCCTGGGGGTGCGGAGACTGGGGGTACTGCGCCTGGGGGTGCTGAGCCTGGGGGTGCGGTGACTGGGGGTGCTGAGCCTGGGGGTGCTGGGTCTGGGGGTTCTACCTCTGGCGGTGCTGGGCCTGAGGGTGCTACACCTGAGCGAGACCTCTCCTCGGAGCAGTTGCGTGAGTGGTACTTACAGTACTGCAGCCTCCGGAGAGGTACCTCTGGGCCCAGGTGCACTACAGGGACTGGTGCTGGTACTTCTCCTCCTAGTCGGGAGCTCCCCTCCCGTGAGCGGATCCGTGAGTGGTACGAGCGCCGTTGCACACTTCGGAGTGGCGCGCCTCGTCTCACGGACCCGGCTGCTGCTGGTGCTACGGACCCGGGCGTTGGAGCTGCTGCTGGTGCTGAGGACCCGAGAGTTGGAGGTGCTGCTGGTGCTGAGGACCCGGGCGTTGGAGCTGCTGCTGGTGCTGCGGACCCTCGCGTTGGAGCTGCTGCTGGTGCTGCGGACCCGGGAGTTGGAGGTGCTGCTGGTGCTGAGGACCCGGGCGTTGGAGCTGCGGCTGGTGCTGTGGACCCTGGTGTTGGGGTCCCTGCTGGTGCTGTGGACCCTGGTGCTGTCCCTGCTGTGTCTGGAGTCGCCACGCGCCCTCAGCCGTACTTCGTTCCGCTCCTTCAGCAGGTTCTTGGTCTCTCGCCTCCTCCTGGTCCTCCTCCCTTAGCGTGTTCACAGCCTGTCCAGTCACAGTTACAGTTGCAGCCGGCCTCCCCTCTACCTGCTCCTTCTCCTTAGACTGGTCCTACTGGCGGTCTTACTGAGCGTCGTGAGTCTGCTTCTCGTCCTGCATCGCCTGTTCGTCCTGCTAGCGCTAGTGCTCGTAGTTCGCGCCAGCGTCCTCCTCCTGCCCCTGGCACGCACCGGATGTCTCTACGTCCGTCTACTGCTCCTCTGCGTGCCCCTTTGCCTTCTCCTCCTGCGTCCTCTCTTCCTGCTCTCGCCGACCCTGCGTCGGACTCTCTTTGTGCTGCCAGTCCTACTGTCACGCGTCTCCTTGCTACTGCCGTCACTGACCCTTCTTTTGGGTCTTCTGCTGCGTCTGCCCTAGTTGCTGAGCTCGTCGACTTTGCTGCTCACTATCGCCTAGACTACGCTGCGAGTCTTGTAGCTGAGTCTGAGTCTGTCTGTCCTCCGTCCGTCGGGGGTGCGTGTGCCCTTGGCACGGACGTCCTTGAGGACAGGCAGGAGGATTTCCAGTGCTTGGCAGCTGCTTCACCTCATCTCGTGTCCGTACTGCTTACCCCTGAGGGAGACCCGGATGCACTTGACATCCCGACTCCGCGCTCTTACGCGGAGGCGATAGAGGGTCCCTACTCCTCTCAGTGGCAGGCAGCTATGGATGCAGAGATGGCTTCCTGGAAGTCCACAGGCACCTACGTTGACGCTGTCCCCCCTCCTAGGGCGAACATCGTCAGTGGCATGTGGATTTTCAGGGTGAAGCGGCCACCGGGTTCTCCGCCTGTCTTCAAGGCGCGTTACGTGGCTCGTGGCTTCAGTCAGCGGCAGGGAGTTGACTACTTTCAAACCTTCTCCCCCACCCCGAAGATGACCACTCTTCGGGTACTGCTGCATGTTGCTGCTCACCGTGACTACGAGTTGCACTCTCTCGACTTCAGCACAGCTTTCTTGCAGGGCAGCCTGCACGAGGAGATCTGGCTGCGCCGCCCACCTGGCTTCACTAGGTCTTTCCCTCCCGGTACCCAGTGGAGTCTCCGGCGTCCAGTCTACGGTCTCCGCCAGGCGCCACGTGAGTGGCACGACACACTGAAGACTACGCTTGCGGCTCTTGGGTTCGCTCTCTCTACTGCCGACCCGTCGCTGTTTCTGCGCACCGACACCTCTCTGCCGCCGTTCTACATCCTCGTGTACGTCGACGACTTGGTCTTTGCCACAGCTGACACTACTGGACTCGCCTACGTGAAGTCCGAGCTGCAGAAGAGACACACGTGCACTGACCTGGGTGAACTGCGCAACTACCTTGGCTTGCAGATCAACCGGAACAGAGCACGCCGCACCATCACCCTGACTCAGTCACACATGGTGCAACAGGTCCTTCAGCGCTTTGGCTTCACGTACTCCTCGCCTCAGGCCACTCCTCTGTCTACTCGCCACTCGCTCTCAGCTCTGCCTTCTGATGAGTCCGTAGAGTCGAGTGGCCCGTACCCAGAGCTTGTTGGCTGTCTCATGTACCTGATGACTTGCACACGACCTGACCTTGCATATCCTCTTAGCATTCTTGCACGCTATGTTGCTCCTGGGAGACACCGACCAGAGCACACGGCTGCAGCGAAGAGGGTTTTGCGCTACTTGTGCAGTACGTCGGGCATGGGGCTAGTGCTTGGAGGGCGGAGTCCAGTGGTCCTCACTGGACACGCAGACGCTTCTTGGGCTGACGACCAGGCTACGGAGCGGTCGTCACAGGGTTACACCTTCAGCCTTGGTTCCGGCTCTGTTTCGTGGCGGGCTACTCGCTCGTCTTCTGTACTCGGCTCTAGTTGTGAGGCTGAGATCTACGCAGGGGCCATGGCTGCTCAGGAGCTTCGCTGGCTCACCTACCTGCTGACCGACCTTGGAGAGCCGCCTCGTTCTCCTCCAGTCCTGTACGTCGACAACAAGGCCATGCTGGCCTTGTGTCGAGAGCAGAGACTGGAGCACAGAACAAAGCACATTGCTCTCCGCTACTTCCTTGCTCGTGAGCTACAGCAGCGTGGTCAGTTGCGACTTGCGTACGTGGCCTCCGAGGCCAACACTGCTGATGTTTTCACCAAGGCACTTCCGCCTTGTGATCATCAGCGCTGCTGTACCCAGTTGGGTCTTGTGTCTGTCTTGCCTCACTTGCTGTCCTCTTGACCCTCTTTGTACTGTTACATATATATATTGCTGCTCTTGCTTGTTTAGTCTTATATATATATATATATATGCACTCCTGCATGTGAACTGGCCTTGTGGCCTTGAACTTGTGCTCGGATTGTGTGGTGACGTTGTGATCCACCCTGAGCTTGCTTTGCTTTGCTTTACTTGACTGGTCTTGTGACTCCTAGTTCTCCCCCACTTCGCCTATGGGGGTGTGTCAAACATTATATATGTTGTTGTAGTTATTTAGGCTACAGTGGGTTAGCCTATAGGGGGTACACATTTCTAGGGTTTCATACTTGTACTCATTTTCACTGTTAGCTCATTCATTCTTGTTCAACAGTCCCCTCATCCTCCCTTCCTCTCATCCTCCCTTCCTGTCATCCTCCCTTTCTCTCATCCTCCATTTTTCTCATCCTCCCTTCCTCTCATTCTCCCTTCGTCTCATCCTCCCTTCCTCCTTTCCACCCAACGCTGTCCTCTCTTGATACTCCCTTCCTTTCTTCCCTTACTCTGTGCAGGGTTTGTTCCCTCCCCTGTTTGTACAGGTCTGCTATGCATTCAGTTCAGTGTGATGCATTTGCTGTTTGATGCTAGTAAGTCAAATAGCCATGCCATGTACTGATGTTGGATGCTTATTATAATACAAACCTCTCAGCATTGAAGTACACATGACCACTACAAAGAAGTACAATAAAGCGAGACTGTATCTTTCTGTGAAAGTGGTCAAGGGTATATTATAGGCACAATGCACAAAACCAGCAACTGTCTGCTGCAATGCATGCAATAAACCTGCAACCCTTGGTGCTGGGCACCTGTACAAGCATGGTTGTGTGAAGGAATGGGGAAGGAAGGGGTTTGGCAAATAAGCAGGAGGTACAGAAGGGCATGTATAGGATGAGTTGAACAAAGGGGAATAGAGCGTAAACAGAGGGGAAAGAGGGGTGAGCCCAGGCGGGGAGAAAGTGACCAGGGGGGGAGAGAGTGAGCAGGGAGGAAGAGAGTGCGGCAGGGGGGGGGGGGAGAGAGTGCGCATGGGGGGAGAGAGTGCGAAGGGGGGGAGAGAGTGCGCAGGGGGGGAGAGAGTGCGCAGGGGGGGAGAGAGTGCACAGGGGGGGAGAGAGTGCGCAGGGGGGGAGAGAGTGCGCAGGGGGGGAGAGAGTGCACAAGGGGAGAGAGAGTGCGCAGGGGGGGAGAGAGTGCGCAGGGGGGGGAGAGAGTGCACATGGGGGGAGAGAGTGCGCAGGTGGGGAGAGAGTGCGCATGGGGGAAGAGAGTGCGCAGAGGGGGAGAGAGTGCACGGGGGGGAGAGAGTGCGCAGGGGGGGAGAGACATCGCGAAAAATTGGCCTCTGAAGGTTTTTCTGCGGAAACCTGGCGTACAAGTTGCGCGAAGTATCCAAAAATCAACGCACGAAAATCGCAACATTCGGTACACCAGTTGCTTTTCCGTCAACTTTTTCGGGTCAGTCGGTGGCGAACGTTCGAGAGAGATTCCATGCGGTTTTGCAGAGTGACGAGGGCAGTGTAATGTAACCATAAATTTAACGAAACAAATCGAATCCACGAAGTCCAGCGAGGTTCGCCAACTGCATACATTGTTTTCGTTCAGTGTCCAATCTGAACCCAACCACCCAACCCAACCCACACAAGTCTACTGGTTTCTTTATGGGTGTGACGTGTAAGCCATAAAATCTGATTTAAGCCAATCACTGTTGTTTCTGTGAGTGGTCAATCAGTCTGCACCCGCTGTTTTGTACACGTCAGCTAGAACCACCCATGATTCCCCTATGTACCCCTGCATTCGTCCCGTACCTACAACCAACCTTACTCCCCCTCACCTTGTTCATTTTGTATTCAGTGTTAATCACTATCGTCCTCCTAGTTCCTTAGATCCGCAACTTAGATAGTAGTTTTATAGAAACCGCATGCTAACTAACTT